CAACCTTCCTTCCGAGGAGTGGCTGGTGGGTTTGAACTGCCAGCCTTCTGGTTAGCAGTCAAGTGCTTTAGCCACTATGCTACCAGAGCTCTGCTGATTAGTCATCGTTTATCTGAAACTTCAACGTAACTGGGTTACATTCTGCGTTTTTATTTGCTGGATGTGGCAACCCCATTGTGAAAACACCAAGAAACCATGATTGTTTCTTCATTCCCAGGCTGTACTAGCAGTCTTCCCTCAGAGGGCCCATACCTCAAGGTCCTTGTCCGTAAAATCAATGACAGAAAAGGCATTGGAAACCGTCTTCCAGTTGTTCTTGTCATTAATGGACGACTCTTTGGCACACTGGGCCTGTTGATACAGAACTGGGTCACTTCACAGCATTTTTATAAGGGCAGTTAGGAGTAAGCACGCTTGTGCTGGAGTCAAGATGGTTTCTCTGTGAGGATGTAAAAGCCAGTATTACAATGTTCTGAACCGCAAAGAAACAGACTTTACTCCGACCGTCTAGCCCATAGTCAGCACGAGAGGATTTGCTCATCGTTACTTTTTTCCAAAGTTACTTGTAAACCTCTGCTCTGAGAAAGGAGTCCTGGGGGGCACAGACAGCTAAGGGCAAGGTGAGAGGTTTGAAGCCCCAAGGTGCCTCAAAAGAGAGGCCTGGAGACATGCTTCTGAAAGGTCGCAGCCACGAAAAACTGACACAATGCATGGGGCTGCCAGGAGTCAGCACCGAATCAACTCGGTGGCCAATGGGCTTTTTGGTTTTGCTCTGGGAAAACTTTCAAAGTTACACAATAGTGATAGACCTTTTGACATGTTTTCTAAAGAACTGGTATTGCCATTTTTGCTAATAAAGACATTCGTCTCAATAAATGTCTGCTGAAACAAGCAGGGAAATTACAGTGCTTAAAATTCAGAAACCAGGCTTGACTCCACGAGGAAACAAACAAGACCTTCACCATGGAACTAGACGGAAGGAGAGCCTCACCCGAGGAAATAAGCACTTGGCATTGAAACTGCGCTGAACTGGCTGTGAGTCGATTCTGGCTCCTCCTGGTGCCCCCACGTGTTACAGAGTAACTGCTCCACAGGGTTTTCTCGGCTGTATGCTTTACAGAAGCAGATCACCAGGCCCTTCTTCCGCAGGGCCCCTGGATGAGAACCTCCAGTCTGGAGCTTAGCAGCCAACTGCCAACCACTCGCACTACCCAGGAAACAAAGAGTATTATATTGTTTCCACCTATAACATGCATACACATATAACGTGCATGGCACACATAGGAAACTAATGCAGGAGGGGTTACACAGTTGGAAAAAAAAATGCGTGCCTGAAGGTTGGGCAATCTACTTCTGTAGTGATATCGCTTCGGAAACCCAAGGAGGGGTCGCTTTGAGTCAGATCTGACTCGACAGCACATAACAACAATTTGTGCCAAAATACAATATAGGGAAGTGACCACCAGCAGAGGCTGGATAAGACTTTTCCCCACCAACTCCAGAAGTTGGCTTTTAAATAAGTAGCAGAGCAACCAGTGCCACAACGTCAAGGGAAAAATATTCTAAGCATTTTGTCTTATTTTGCTCTTGTGGTTCAGGGTGGCCCCAGTTTCCTAGTTATCTGGGTATTTGTATCTTAAAGGGTTTTCCAAAGATTCCATTTATGGAAGCAAGCTGAAGAGGGAAGATGAGGAGACTGTCCCTTTTCTCTTTAAGTCCTTTGGTAATGACTGAATTTTTTTAAACCATGAATATATATTAACTTCACCACTTTTGAAATAAATTGATAGCCATGGTTAAAAAAAAAAAAAGATTTTCTTGTTGCACAGGGAAACCAAAGTTGTCATGCCATGTAAATATTTACTAATAAAGGAAATAACAAAAAACCCCAGTCCATTGCCATGGTGTCAGTTCTGACTCACAGAGACCCCACGTGTGTCAGAGTAGAACTGGGCTTCACAGGGTTTTCAGCGTCAAACTGCGCAGTTCGCCCAAGTTACAGGAGGTCATGGAATCAATGAAAACAATAGTGGCTAATCACTTGACCCGTTTCCAACACAACTGGGACAGAAGGATCTGGCTGAAAACATCTACAAGGATGAAAACACCCTGTGCCTCAAAGGAGGGTGATTTGTCATCAAAGGGTTAGGAGAAGCCCTTAGGAAACGGATGAGAAACAAACAAAAGTCCAAACCCTCTGTTGTTGCCATGATTCTGACTCCGAGCAGCCCCACGTGCCACAGGCAGAACCATGCCGTGGGGTTTTCTTGGCTGTTGTCCTTACAGAAGCAGATTGCCAGGCCTTTCTTCCAAGGCACTGCAGGGTGGGATCAGACTGCCAGCCTTTAGGGTAGTAGTCAAGGGCACCGCCCATAAAAACCCACTGCCATCGAGCTGAATTCAACTTATAGCGACTCTATAGGACAGAGGAGAACTGCTCCATAGGGTTTCCAAGGTTGCAAAACGTTTTGGAAGCAGACTGTCTCATTTCCCGCCCCCCACAGAGCAGTTGATGGATTCGAACTACCGACCTTTTGGTTAGCAGCTGAATGCTTTAACCATTGCACTACCAGAGCTCCTCTGCACCACCCAAAGACCTTAGAAAAATGACTTTGTGCCACCCATACCCTCTACCACCAAGTTGATTCTCACTCATAGTAACCCCA